TTTTTTTAGTTAAGATATAGCAATTTAGAATATAAACAAACACAACTAATTTAATTTTTAAAGTTTATTAAACATTAAAAAAACAAATTCACAACTATCTTATTAAAATTAGCATAAATTTATGATATGATGTGAAGAATAGTAAAATGTAGACCATAAATTGTATGTATTTAATTGTTTTATTAGACATTAAAAACATGTTCACTGATTAATTAGTGAATTAATCAGTGAACTTATCAGAATCAGTAAAAAATTATATAAATAATTACTTAATAGTCACAATTAAAATAGTAATAAAAATGAATAATTCAAAAAGTCAATTAAAACTATATAAAAAATTATTTCAGAGATTTTCTTTTCAAAATTTTATGCTGGAACTTTTTGGTCCATTAACAAAAAGAAAAAAAAGGAGGATATAACTTTTTCCTATCTGGGAACTAAGAGTCTATCTTTCAATGCCTATTTTCAAATCCACAGTGGGGATAGGGGAGTATTGTAGTTGGTTTTATCTGAAAATGACAGTAAGTATAGTCATGTTCAGGTAAAACCAACTACAAGAGCTTCCTGAGATTTCAACTAATATTGTTACAATCATATTCCTAGGTTTAGTTTCTTTTAGACTTTACACAGTATATGTGTAATTTTAGTTTAGTACTAAAATTATATTTGCTGACTAAAACCAAATTATGCTAATTTCAACCTGAACATATGTCTCCAAAACACTGGACTGATGTCTTTACAGATATTTGGTCCTATAAGAATTATTACAGGAATTTATATTAGTCTTATAAACAAAGCCAGATTTTGAATTATAGTCAAAGATATTACATATAAGTGGTTCTTTCTCCTTCAGATGATAAATTTAACAACTTGAGTTGTTAAGCTGAGAATCTGGTTATGAAGCCATAATTTTTATTCAAATCCAGCACTAACTCTAAGGTTATCTTGAAAATTTAAAGCAGCTATCTCAAATACCTCCATACTCTATTATTTATTATGTAAAAGAAAATATATAGCAATTATTGTAGATTAATTCATTTAACTGTAATTTTTATGAGAAGAGCAGACTGATGCCATTCCAGCAACCTCATACTTTGAAGTAACTGAATACATTTCAAATTATTTATTTCTAAAAGTTTTAAAATACTATGTAAAATTATATAAAATGATGTTGGATAATGCAATAATTAAGTAGAATAAAACAAAAATATAACATTTTATTAAAGAGTATTTAACAATAATAACAAATATTTTTTGATGTATAGAAGGTATACATTTAAAAATACATTTTTAACATTACAAATATAATAAATAAATTCTTTAAACATAGTCTTTGATCATTCACACTTTTATTTCCAGAACTTTTAACTTATTAAAGATTCTTCTGTCTGATAAAATGAATCGAAATTTATTTTTTCGCTATATCTTGCCAACACAAACAAGGACACTACACCAATAAGAATGCCTATATTTTGAAGGAGGAATACTTTTAATGTTTTACCAACTCCTTTCGGTTGAGTTTCTCTAATGGCATCGTTTAATTCTCCCATCTAAAAACGTTCAGTTAATGAAAATTTAATATTAAAATTGGTATATTTTTTCTTTAAGACTTAAAAAAATAATTTACCATGTCTACTAAAGATATGTAGAGAAACATTCCTCCAGCAAAAGCGAAGATATAATAACTTCCTTCTGCTAAGTCTCCTAATACGACACCAAATATAAAACCGATATAACACGTACAGGCCGACATGAAATTGTATATCAAAGCTTGTTTCATTGACATTCCTGCGTTAATTAATACTGCAAAATCGCCTGAAAAAAGAATATAAGAAAATTATCCATTAAGGAATAATTGCGCATTCATTCTATTGTTAATTTAATATATACCTAATTCGTGAGGAAATTCCTCACAAACAACGGCTACAGATATGCTTATCCCGGCCAAGATACTTTCGGAAAAGGCTGCTCCTATAGATAAACCATCAATAAAATTATGAAATCCATCTCCAAATATGATCATCCATGCTACAGTGGCCACCGTGTTAACCCCGTCCTTCCGTAATGGCAAATTATGATCGTGATTATGATATGTTAGTGATACCTGGAACGTAATTAATTAATATAACTTATACATACATCTATAATACAAAAATATACTTACATGACTGTCATCGTTAAAGTGAGAATGGCTAATATCCATACTAGTTTCTTCCGATTCTCCATCTTTCATTATGTTATTTGTAAAATTAATGATAGAACAGTTATCCTTTTCTGGATTATCCACATTAAATGATTTATGAGATAGTAAACATTTGATATTAGTTTCTTGGTGTTTTCTCTTCTGTTAAAGAATAATATACATATAAGTTTAGGTTATATTCTCAATTGAAATGCTACAGAAAGTTATTAAGAATTTCCTATACGGATCACAAAGAACTGTTGACAAAAGTCCAAATATCATAAGGACAAAATGAAAACAACTGAAATGATTCGGTCATATACAAAGATCGAGGCCAAGACCACAAGAAGCTTAGACCAACAGAATTTAGAAATAAACTACAAGTATATCAAATTTATGAGATCTAACAAGATAAGGCAAGGACAGACTGAGTGAGATGGAAAGTTTCCTAATGATTGTCTCCTGAATTGCCCAGATCATTCTAACCAGTGGCCAAGTGAATAAAACCACTTACACTAGTGGGTTCGCACTTCACCAACGGACTGACCATGTGGGGTTTCCTGATTTTATTTACATAGTAGCACTTAAATAGGGGCCAGTTTCCCATAGAAAGTCCTCCCGAGAGGCACCTCCTTTGGCAAATCGCCCATGTGTTTCGTTACCATATCCTACCAAACTATCAAACTGGATTACAGGGAAGATGAAGAAATTCTCTATATATTTTTTAATATTTTAAAATACAAATTCTTACCTTTCTGGCATCCATGACTATTTTCATCAAGTGTTCACTGAGAAAGAATACATATATTCCACTAAAAATAATGGCAGCCTTCCATAGATAATCATGCTCCGCATCTTGTCCAAGTAAATTGAAAGCCTTTTCAATAGAAGAAAATTTAAGATAACTTATTTTGTAATTGAAAGAATCAAAATTTGAGAATATCATACTTGCGGTATAAGATGAAAAACAGCGCTGCTTGCTAAACTCCCTACAGCTAATCCTTCGAAGAGCATGAGTAAATTTTTATATAGATTTTTACTTAATACTGGTAAAACGAGCACACCGACTAAAGAACAAGCGCTGATGACTGTGATGCAAAGGATTCCAAGTCCCCATACTGGAAAGAATCGAGAAATTGTAGTGCTGTAGAGAATTAAATAAATTTGATCAATTACCTGCAATTGCGGATGGTTTAGTTTTGGGTTTAGTGTCTAAGGATTGATGATGGCAGTTAAATCCTTGATACATTTGTGAAAGTAATACAGGGCAAAGGCGATTCAACGCATCGTTTAAAGTTTCTGTTGTGTTTGGAAGTAGATCGAAGAGTTCCTCAGGAGATAGACACTGAAAAGAATTTATTATAAATTACAATACTAAAATTAATAAATTTGTTTTGTATAAAATAAAGAAAAAAATCCAAAATTTCTATAAAAAGTTCTGAATAAAATAATCAGTTATAACTATGAGTTAATTAAGTATAATTTGCCATAGATAATTACAAGAACTTAAATAATTTTATCAATTTTACCACTTTTACCGAAAATTTTATACTTTAAGTTACAAAAGCATAATTTAATCCAAATAAATATACTGGACATATACTAACAAGGTTAAAAATATACACAGAAATCTACTCACATTATTAATGTCGTAATTACAAAGTGTTTCGTCGGAAGATAGGCAAGAAATATTAGGTCCATTGACGAAGGAATGACGAAGATCGCGAACGAAAGTAGTGAAATCATTAATTAATTCATTCCTGTTTTTAGTCGGTGACGAAGAACGTAACAGATTTTGCCACGAAGAAGCTTCTACATCTTCCAATTTGTAAGCTTTAGTTGTATATAAAGCTTGTAAGATAACGAATAAAAGCGCAATGTCCATTCTTAGTTAAAAGTTCTGTCGACTCGACATGTCAGCGAGTCAATGTTTCAATTTCTGTTCACATTTAAGTTGGCGCGATTACTAAACATTCGACCAATCGAACCGAACGTTTACAATTGTCTCGTATTATTAACTCCACTGATTAGGCGATTGAACAAGTTAGAATTACATAACCTTACTTCTAAGTTGAACTGTTTTAACTTCGTTTATTGCCTTCAGGGGGATCGTGTTTTGTTTCTAAGAATGTTTTCTAATTTATTCGACATTGAAAATATATTCAAACTAAAGAAAATCGAAAGTTAATAACGTTTATTTGTATGCAAATAAAATTTAAAAAATAAAATAAAATAATGTCCTTTCTGTAAAATTTCTAGGCCAACTAGTCGCGTTATTTATTTATTTATTTGTTTTTTCAGTTATGCTGTTGAAACACGGAAATTTATAGAAAAAAATTTGTATCTTTGCTAGCCAATATGGTCGTTTCGTATAAAATTAAATGTCGTTATTGATTTTTATGGCATAATTTTTGCTTTGGATATGGTCGAAATGGTTTTATATTCGTTTATTTATTCCCAATAACCTATTATATGTAACACTAAAAACTGCCATTTCCGAGAAATTTAAGTGTTTAAATATGCTAAACATTCCTAAATTTTATGCGGAAATTAATAAAAATTTATACCTTAAAAAAATTTGTGTATAGTTTTCTATATATAAAAATATAGTAAAAGCTTTCTTTAGTATACCTTATTTTATTTATAATTTATTTCATAATTTAATTAATCTATAATTATTTAATCTTTATAATATGATTATTTGTGTAATAATAACGCTGTAAGATAAGAATATTTCGATAATAGGCCTATTTTGAATCATGATCATCTATAGACTGGTTATAGTATGAAATATGTCTTAGGCTACTATAATTAGGGTTTTTTTTTTTGGCTCTTTTCTTCCTGTGGGCACTAAGAGAAACTTTTTAAAATCATAACTGTCATGGTTTCGACCAGGTCCACAATGGGAGCGACGGAGTATTGAGGGATGAGGCCCAACATATCCAGGACATTATCTGAGAATTTTACATGAGATAGTTCACCCAGATTCGATTCAAGGCTTCCAGAGCGATAAACTGATGCCTAATGGCCTTCGCCATTCGGCCCAGACCCTGGGACTAGGGCCTCCCAGGCTTCTCTATTTTTTCTGACTTAATATTCTTGGTTTATTACATTTCCTGTTTTATTTTTGCTTTTATGTAATTGAAATTGCTTCTTTTATTGTATTTTTAATTGAAATTACTTAAATTGAATTTCCAGGCTTTATAATTTAAATTTTATTATATAGACTCCGGAATCCTGTACAGATCTAGGCCCCAGTATGGCTTCCCCTCTTTCTCTTCGGCTATGATTATAGAAGTGGCCCAAAAATAAGTTAACTACCGTAAATAGCTAAACTTCTGTCTTATTTAATTACTTTATTACTACAAAAAATTTGCTAAAATTGCCGAGTTTCTTTCAAGAACATGGTTAACTGACTTTTAGCCCACCCTGTACATAAAAAATCCCGCAATATTATTTAAAAATTAGGTAATATTTATCCAAAAATTAGTATTTATGTTGTTTTTTTTAATTTAGAAAGCAAAATATTAATCAAAACAAACTCAATTCATTTCCTGTATACAATACTCTGTATTAAAAATATTTCCTTGATCGCTCGACACGATATTAAACTTGAATTTAATTGAATTACGCATAATTTCCAAGTAAAACAGAACTGAAAATAGATAATTATGATGTAGATAAAGGTTAAAATTTATAACTTTTCCTTTTTAATTTTTATTAATGCTAAACAATTCAAAGAAAAGTATATACTGTATTTTGTCCTTCTAACCAAGCGAATCAAGCGAACCGAATTTATGACTTTTGCTTTTAAAAATTTCTGTCAAAATACTTTATTTCCGCGCTCCTTGACGTATTTTTATACATTTTACTGTTACGCTCTGCGAATTTTTACAAGTTTCAATGTTTACGAAGGTTAAACTTTATGTAGATGATAGTATTTATTGCATACACTTCCAAATATCGGGTCAGGGATATCAATTTCTTAGAATAATCGATTGGAATTAACGATTTTTGCTTAAATATGCGATTACCCGCTCTATTAATTTTCGAAAATATTTTTAATACCTTTAATTATAATAATTTTTTTATGTCCCAATTTTCTCTCTTATTCCTGATATTGCTAAACATGTGTTTTTTTCATTTTTTTAATTTTGTTTCAATGATATATCGGTAATAATTTATGAGTAATTAAGATCCATACATTTATATGAGTGTCTGAAAGATAATATTTCATAAATTACATAATTTTTTAAATAAAATTAAACTCAAATTTTAATAAATTGTAGATTAATTTGTGTGCAAATAAGTTAAATCTAACTTTGAGTTGTGATAATCACAAATTTTCATTCTAGTGATAGACGAATTTGAGATAAATTGCATAATTAATGTGTTTTTATACAATTAAACTCAAATTTTAATTAATTAAAGATTAATTTGCATGAAAAATAAATTTATGGGTAGCTTAATTCATCTCTGATTTGAGATAACCTCAAATTTTCATCTTAGAAACAATAGAATTTGAGAAAATGTAAGGGATAATTTTTCAAAATTTATGTGAAAATTAGAAAATTGTTTTTAATATTTAATTTTTAAAGTATCAGATAATCTTTTTACTTATGAATTAAAAAAAGAATCACTAGAATACATATATATATATACATAAACTTGAATTTCTAGTCTAGAAGGATTTTTTTTCTTTGTAAATTGATTAGAAATTCTTTCTTGGTATTCACTTATTTTCTTCAATAAATTAAATAATTGTGATTAGCATTTAAACATAAGTAATAACAAAATAATGAAGATTTAGAAAATTGTAAAAGAAAATAACATTGGAAACTGTACAAAAGAATGATGCCATTTAATGTTTTACATAAAATTCTAATGAATTTGTGTGCAAAACCAATTTATGTATAGTTAAATTCATCTTAGAATTAAAATAATTACAATTTTTATGTTAGAAATAGCATACTTTTAAGTTTTTGAGTGCACAAAATTATTTGAACTTTTATATAAAAGTCCAATAGGTAATTAAAATTTGTGTAATCAGCATTGAATAAAGGAGAGAAATTATCAGTAAATAATGAATTCAGTAGGTGTACTTCTGTATAAAATCAATCATGGTCAACTATCTCATTAATATGTAAACATTGTTGTAGAATGGCATTATATATACATAAATATAAAGTGGTAAAAATAACATAATGCCAACTATCACTTGATTGTAACATACACTTACAATAATTAAAATTTATATAGCATATAACTGTAATTTATAAACTTTATCAAGTTATAAAATCAAAATATCTCAATATTATGAAACTGAAAGTTATTAAATCTCTTATGTCATATCTCATATTATTAATGTTAAATAAAATTTTCTCTGTTAAATAAATATCTGGAAATTCTGATTTTATTAAAATTTATAATGAAAATTATAAAAATTATGATTTAAAAACTTTTAATTTAATTAAACTGTGAAAAACATAAAAAAATTTATGTAATATTGACAATATAGAATGAATATTTATATATTTAAAATATGGAAATCAGATATAAATAATGTAATAATTCTTATTTTACATGTATTGAATGTTTCAACAGGAGGCCTCATATTTAGGGATCCATTTGGTTTTTAAATGTGAGGCATCCTGCTTTACATTCTATTGATATATAGTATATCTATAAAGTAAGAGGCCATCTACTCTCTATATTCTCTATAAAGCAAGAGGCCTTACATTTAGAGCACCCACTTATTTTCATAAATGTAAGGCCTCTTAGTTTATAGGACAGAAGAATGGAGGTCCTTAACATAATTTTACTGCATCAATCTAACATCTAATTGTATCTACAGAAATTTTTAAAAATATAAATTATGATATACAATTGCAATGGTGAAATTGCCTTATTTTTTCCAATTTCGAAGCTCCCGAGACGGGCCTTTAGACATGACCATATACCAGCACTGATGATAGGGTATGGTAAAGTTAAGTGGCAAGGGCCTCTCTTGACCTCTAAGAAACGTTAGTAAAGAGTTACAGTATACAATTCTAGATGTATATTTAGTAATTTAGTGTGATGTAAATAATATAAAATAATATTCAGGCTAAAAGAATTTACAAAAAAGAATTATAAAAAGAAGGGGAGAGAAATACAATGCATAAAAAACTGAACTTATCCAAGCGTGTTTTTATTAGAATTTCAATTTACTAATTTGTTTCTTATACATTGTTCTTTATATAATTTATTATTATTTTTTATTCACAATAGCTTCAATTTAATTTTCATTAATTAATAAATTGATACAATTTGAGCTGCTAATTAAACGCCTTCAATGGACAATGTTGCTTATTAAATGTCTTCAATAACATTAAGATGTGTAACATTATATTTAAATGATTAGAAAGATTAATGATGAGGTAATTTGATGCTGCATTACATTGTATTTTTATGAACATAATTGAAGTTTTAGTTAAAGATAATGATCGAATGATCGAAAATATAATGCATTTCCACTTCAATAACGTTAACCTTGATAAAATGACTTATTTCGACAATTATTTAGATATAAATAAAGCAATAAAAAGTAAATTAAAACTATCTGGAAACGTTCCAATTTTACTTTTTTAATTTATAGTAAAGGGAATATACCAAATTTCTTCTAGAGTTTTATTAAAAATGTAATTTTCTTAATTAAATATTTAAATATAATTAATTTGTTATCTTTAAATCTAATTCAGTTAATAATAATAATTAAAATTTTTAATATAATAACGATTGTTACTATGCTAATAACTTAATTTTAGTTCATTTTATGTGTGAATGGTTTCTTATTAATTTAATTAACAATTTATTAATGAAAGTAATTTAAAGAAATTAGATATAAGTAATCAGAAGACCTCACATTTAGGAGACCAAATGGTCTCCTAAATGTGAGGCCTTCTGCTCTAATGTGAGGTCTCTTGCTCCTAAATATGAGGCCTTTTTCCATAAATTCTGCAAGTAATGATAAAGCCCTATCATAGGGAGTCTTAA